TTTACATGCACATGCACACACACACCATGCACAGACACACAGAGAGATGCACACACATGCACACACAGAGATGCACACACATGCACACACATGCACATACACACATGCATGCACATAAACGCACACACAAATACACACAGACACATGTACATATGTGCACATATACACGCACGTGCACATGCACATACACCATGCGCACACACCATGCACATACACACAGATGCACGCACATGCACGCACATACACATGCATGCACACACGCATGCACACGCATATACACAGAGACACATGTACACACATGCACATACACACATGCATACGCACAAGCACACATACACATGCACACACATACACACACAGAAACGCACGCGCACACACACGTGCACACACTGACACACAGAGAGACACACACACACACTCACGCACTCACACACGCACACACAGACACGCACACAGAAACACACACACATTCACACACACAGAGAGAGACATACACACACAATCACACACACACGCACACAGACACACACTCACACACAGACACATGCACACGCACACCCAATCACACACACACAATCTCACACTCACACGCACATTGCGTGGGCTGGCGCGGCCCGGTCCTCCCAGGACAATGAGGAAGCGTGGCCACCAGACAGGAAGGGGTTGGTATTTAAGGGACTCGGCAAACAATCAGGATCCATTCCCCGCAGGCCCTCGGGGATCACTATTTGGGGGGACGGTCGGATGGGTAGGCTCCAGGAATCGGGGTGAACCGAGGCTGGTGCCTGGAGGAGAGCTTCGTGCCATCGGGTAAGCCGGTCCCTGGCTTTGGGGTCCCCCAACGTGTCCCCCAATGTTGCCTAATTTTCTCCTTTTGTAGCTGCTGAGGGCGGGTCAGGCTCCAGCTCAGAGCTGGGGGGAGTGTCCGGATTGGGAAGGGTCATTGGGCAGTGTCTCCCGTAGCCCTGGGGTTTTGGGGGTGTCTTTTCCAGGCTCAGGGAGCCCCAGGAATTAGCCAGGCTCATGGGGGAGCTGGACAAATTCCCCAGGAGAACAGACCTGGCCCCCAAAGGCGGGAGGAACTGGAGGCAGAGTGTCTGTGGGGTTGTACCCGGGACAACAGGAGAAATCAAATCTCATGCAGACACTGGGCAGGTGGCTACTTAGCATTTTT